GAATCAAGCACCCATCCTTCTTGAACGCGGTTAGAAATTACGAGTGAGTTTCCATAATGGCATGATATTGTTTAATTTGAGTAATAGCACTCATGGTTTTACTTTGGGCTTCTCTAAAATTACTCGGATTAATGTAGATTTATTCCTTACTTATAAACTCATGATTATTCCCTAAATTCATGATTCTCCTCTGAGGCCTTTGGAGTCCTCGAACAGTCTTCCCTTAATTTAGGCTTCACCCTTTTTTCGTAACTACACGGAGGCTCACAACATTTTTATTCGACATGGCTAAGTTAAGTGCATGACTCTGATACCATTTTATGAATACATTTCCATTGGTATGAACACTTTTGGTGAAGCACAAAACAAAACTATCAGAGTTTATGCTCAAAGTGGACAATATCATATCATTGTGGAGATTCATGATCCTTAACAAAGAGTAGTTTCAAAGAATATATATCAATTATTGCAAACTACAATTTTTTTTTCTTTTTTGTGGGTTCGAAAATTTTGTGTTTGATCACGTCAAGTCCAATTTCGATCGATTCATATATAATGAATCAAATCAACTTTTTGAGTGAGAATCTTATCGTTAAAAATCAACTAGTTAATATGAAGTGGGTTTGTGAGTAAGCTAAAAATATTCTTGCTTGGGTCTGCCACCACCATGAAAGATCCTTTTCAAAACTGGCTCTTCGTGAATGATCTTGATCTGTCAATAATTCCCAGTTTAGTCGATTCAAAATGAAATGAAATCAGATTCCTATTGAGAATTGTAATTTATGAAAGAATAAAATTTTAATTTTTTAGACATACCTTATCACAACTTTGATGAATGTCACGTAAATTTGGAAAATTGTTGATTGGGTCACTGTATTTGGATTTGGCCAAACTTCTTCTCTAATGAAATGCTATAATAAACAATCACTTTGAATAAATAAACTTTATCACATGATTTATGATTTTTATAATGTCTCTCGATTGAGTAATATTAGTGACATCAACCATAGAGATCGAGAAAGTTGTTGGGTGTCCAACGAATATGAAACAATACTAATACTTATCATTATCATTAAGGATGAGTGTGTGAGTGAATCAATAACACATTCAAACGAGACTAAATCTAAGGATATGATATTCTAAATAATTAATAATTACTACCATATTAACAAAATACACATAAAACTCGCACGTTTGATCTACATAATGAATACGAAGAACAAAAAGATAAAAAACAGAACACAATGATTTGAAGTTACAAAAGATCCAGCTTAGAAACTACAAAAGAATAGGTGTTAATCTCTTATCTTTTAGACAATTTTATATTTGGTGATCTCCCCTAAATTATCCAAAACACATGTGAGTAAAAATAAAACATGTCAAAATAACTCAGGTTGATTTGTGGGATGATCTTTACTCAAGTAATTTAAGAGGTAGCATGGTCATGTCATAAGGATTATAAGAGAATGTCAAGGCCGTCAGATGCTCAATCGAGTACGTTGCGTTGCATAAATATAAAGAGGGAAAGAAAGGAAAGAAAAAAATGGTGTTCGATGAGAGTAACCCACCAATTCTAAATTTATTGAGTTAGGATATTTGAACAAAAAGTCCATTCTTTTGAATACCAACTAGGTACCAAAACACCCAACTTTTTGGCTTCCCAGTGGCTCTTACGGGGATTACCCATATACCAGCTCACCAAGCTGGAACGGTGAGCTAGTTCGGGTTTAGTGCAAACTATGGTTTACAATAAGTTGCTTGTACAATAAAGTAAGGAATTTTATGAGATTTCACATTGGTCGGAGGAAAACGAAATATTCTCTATAAAGGTGTGAAATCTCTTTCTAATAGATGCGTTTTGAAAATCTTGAAGGAAAAATTCAAATAAGATAATATCTGCTAGCAGTGACCTTGGGCTGTATAAATGATATTAGAGCCAGGCACCGAGTGGTGTGCTAGCATGAACGCTGGACTTCCAAGGGGTGGATTGTGAGGTCCCAAATTGGTCGGAGAGGGGAACTGAGGCATTCCTATAGAAACCTCTTTTTAGTAGACGCGTTTTAAAACATTGAGAGAAACCTCTTGTGGGAAAAGCCCAAATAAGACAATAACTAGTAGTGGTGGGTTTGGTCTATTACAAATTTTCTCCATTAAAGAGAGTCTTTTACTATGAGCTTGAAGTGTTGGAAAGTCATCGAAACATTCAAGTGATTGTTTTGAAGTTGATTCGAGTTAGAAAATTATCAAAATGTTTGTACCAACATCTACGTGATTGTTTAAGCCCATATAGAGACTTATTCAATCGAAAAACTAAGCTTCTATTCCTCTTCTTCGGTTCATATCCTTCACATAAAGGCAGTGGTAATGGTTGAGGATTTTGGGAAGGAGTCCCACGTTATCTAATTTAGGGAATGTTCATAGGCTTATAAGGAATACAATTCCATTGGTATCAGGTCTTATGAGGAAACCCAAAGCAAAGCCATGAGAGCTTTCTAACATAGTATTAGAGTCGTGTCCTTAACTTAGTCATGTCAATAGAATCCTCAAATGTCAAACAAAGAAGTTGTGATCCTCGAAGGTATAGTCAAAAGTGACTCAATGTCGAATGAATTGTGTACTTTGTTCAAGAGCTCCATAGGCTTCAGGAGAGACTCTCTATAGTGTACTTTGTTTGATGGAGAGGATTGTTCAGGATTGTTGGGAGGAAGTCCCACATTGACTAATTTAGAGAATGATCAAGTATGGAATACATCTCCATTTCTATAAGTTCTTTTAGAAAAGTCTAAAGCAAAGTCACGAGAGCTTATGTTTAAAATGGACAATATCGTACCATTGTCTGAGTCAAAATTTCTAACGATTAATAGGTAAAAATGGTAGGTCAGAATGCTGTAGCTGACAGATGCATGGGAAGAACAATATGGTCCATCGATTTGACTTTGATTTGATTGATGTTGTGGACATTTCAATTCTTATAACCACACAAACAAGTGGTCGGCTCCCAATTTCTCTCATAACACCAACCCATTTTATTTTACGATCTACCCCTATAATTTGTAGATTATTGCAATGAAGTCCTCAAATCTTTTAATTTGATCAAATACTCTTTGTAATTTTTTAAATCGGTCAATATTTTATCTTGCTAACGTTGTGAGATCCAACGTTAGTTGGGAAACGAAACATTTTTTATAAAAATGCAAAAACCTTTCTCGAGTAGATGTGTTTAAAAATTGTGAGGCTGACGGAGATACGTAATAGACTAAAGCAGACAATATCAGTCAGCGGTGGACTTGGAGTGTTACAAATAATATAAGAGTTAGACATTGAGTGGTGTGCTAGTAAGGACATTGGTTGGAGAGAAGAACAAAGCATTCGGGTGTGAAAACCTCTCCCTAATTGATGCATTTTAAAATTGTGAGGCTGACGGCGATACGTAACGAGAAGATCAAATTAAAAATTCAAAGATATGATTTACAATATACGAGGAAGTTCAAGAGACTATTTATAAATAATATAAAAACGACAAACGCTTGATGGTAAGAAATACTAAAATTCAAAGGTGTTTTGTGCAATTTTAAAAAAAGAAATGAAGACATGACATGTTATCATAGGTTTATAGCAAGCTATTTGAATGAAATCGAAATGAATTGGTGTTTATCTAGTTTTGGACGTAATACTCGTACAAAAAATGACACAATGTGTGTGTCTTTTTGTTCATATGAATGAAGAATGTCATTCAAAAATGTCATAAGTTTGAAGTTTTAATTTATGTATATATGAAATGTCATTATGTGTAAAAGACAAGGACCTTGAGAGACAGGATTTCCATGTGTCCATTGCCTATGTCGGCTGTGCCTGCTCTTATTTATAATTCTTTTATTTCTAACGGTTAGACGAACACGACTCTCCACAATGGTATGATATTGTCCACTTTGAGCATAAGTTCTTATGGCTTTGCTCTGGGCTTCCCAAAAGGCCTCATACCAATGGAGTTAGTATTCCTCACTTATAAACCCATGATCATTCCCTAAATTAGCCGATGTGGGACTTTCATCATCCAACAACAACTTCTATTTGGATTTTGAATTTAATAGTTTTTGAAAGGTTGTTTAAAACTTTCACTAATAATTTTGAAAATAACATTAATCATCTATGTTAGACGAACACGATTCTTCACAATGATACGATATTGTCCACTTTGAGCATAAGTTCTCATGATTTTGCTCTGGATTTCCCCAAAATGCTTGTACCAATAAAGATAGTACTCTTTGATTATAAAAACATGATCATTTCTTAAATTAGTCATCCAATCCTCTCTACGATTTTGAGAGTACTAACGATAAAAATTTAATTAAATATTTTAAATTTTTTTCTTAACGTTAAAGAGTATTGATATTACTTTAGAAAGTTCATGGATATTCTTGAAAGGTGGAACTACGTACTAATGATAAGGGTATTTTTGAACTTTTTAAAAATTTGAGGGTATTAATGAAACTTTTAAAAGTTCAAGAGTATTTTTGAAATAAAATTATGACGATTTTCGAAGGGCATTTTTTAACTTTTTAAAATATTTGAAGGGTATTAATGAAAATTTTGAAGGTTTAAAAGTATTGTTTGAAACAAACCATAAAATTTAAGAGTATTTTTATTAATTTAGCTTCTTTGAAAACTTATTTTTGTTTTCAAAATTTGGCACGTAAAAACCGTGTGAAACTAAGTACAATTTTCAAAAACAAAAATCGAATTCCAATTCGTTATCAAAAAGACCAACTAAACAATAAAAAAAACAAGAAAGCTCACTACAAGAAATAATAGATACAATAGCTTACGAAAAATGTTATCCCGTCATGACAGCCCATGTTATTAAAATTTTGAGATTTTTCATAACGTTTTTTTATAGCTATAATAAATGTTATAAGAGAGTATGAAACTATAACTTATATACGTTGGTATAAAAATATTTTATAGCGTTATATTAAAACTATAATATATTTAATATAACATTATGAATTTCATATCAAACCATATGATGAGCTGAATTAAGTGATCAATACAAAGGTTTTTCAAGGACCCAAATCTCCCCTTTCCTCTCTATACCATGACACCATTATACCCAGCCCCACCAAGAACACAAAAATTGAAAAAACACCAAAAAAAAGTCAAATTCCTTACTCAGCTGATCTTTGACTGAGGAAGAGCAACATATACCATCCCCACTAAACCCCACAAAGCTGCTGAAAATAGTGTAAAATCAATTACATTTCTCCCCCAATATGTACAAGGCAACATAACAAAACCCAAACTTACTGAAATCAAACCAAAAATTACAACTTTCTTGAGAGCTTCAATTGATCCCTTCCATGGCGGATCATATTCATAAAGGGATCCGAGGTTCCTCTCAGCGCAAAACCCATATGGGAAATGGAAATAAAATTGAAAATTTTTCCAACTTTTTCCCTTTTTGCTGCTGACATGAACACTCCGATCCCCAAATTTGGTCGTTTTTTGGCCTTTTTTTTAAGAACTAAACAAAACCCATTAAATTTCACAAGAGAAAAGAAGGGGAAATGAAGAAATTCTAAAATCTAGTGAAGAAATCAAGGTGGGGTTTGATTAATTTCTCTCTCTCTAAATGAGAGAAGAAGTAATTGATGAACCAAGATTCGTTGGATCATTCCAAATTTGAGAGCTCCAATTAGCATAAAGACAATTTGGATCATTTGATTGAGCAATAATTTCATCACTCTGATTTTGCTGATTCCAATCCAATCTCTTCATCTCATCTTTCAGTTGATCTCCACCGTTGGATCCCATCACATGATACTGATCAAACGGTGGAGAATCTAGGTTATCAAAAACACTTGAACCAACTCCATTCCTGAACTTAGAACTCCAAGATGGGTTACCAAATAAATAACTCGAAAAAGCCAAACTTGAATTGAACCCATTAACGTGAAGATCCCTATGATCCATATTAGTAGAAGAAAACCCTAATCCAAGAGCATTTAATTGAGGTTGAAGATGATCATACCCGGAAAACGGAACGTTCAGATCCGAGCCATAAAAGATATTATTAGCACAAGAAGTCGAAGACGAAGAAGTGGAATCCGGTGCTGGGGACGATGAAGAATGAGTGGTGGCGGTAGCGGTGGCAGTGGCGGTAGATCGTTTGAGACGCTTGTTTTTCCTGCAGCCACCGCCGACGGGGACGTTTCTCAAAGTGCCACCACGTGTCCAGTAGCGCTTGCACGCCTTACAAAAGTAACGAGGCTGAGACAAGCTGTAATTGTTGTAATAACAAAATTTGGTATTGGAAGAATCACAGCGAGGGCATCTAAGAGGCTCTTGTTGTGGTTGTTGTTGTTTAACCATTGTTGATCTAGAAGAAGATCCCATAAGATTCAAACCCTTTTGATGATGTTCATCATTATGATCTAAATTGGATTGATGATTCTTCATCTATATGGAAAACAAAGAACAAAAACAACACGGATTTGATTAGAAACACAAATTTTATTCCATTCCAAGAGGAAAGGAACAAAAATCAAATGGCGAATGGTCAATTTTGGAGCTAATAATTTGAGAGAGAGAGACAAAAAAGGTGGAAACTTTACTTACTTGTGGGTATTGGTTAGCAGATGAAGAGATGAGAGCCATTTTCTTAGAGCTTGGGAGAGGAATTCAAAGGGATTAATTTGATGATTATATAGAATATAATAACAACTTATAATCTCTTTCTCACTCTCTTGATGAACAGTGAAAGAGTGAAGAGAGAGAAACATTTAGAAATCCAATAAAAAAGAAAGGGAAATAAAGTTGGAAGAATATTACAGATGAGATGCTCTTTTTTATTTTTTATTTTTATCTTTCTTGCATTTTACTGCGTAACATTTTACTTTATAATGAATGTAAAACAAAGATATACAGAGGGGAATCCCAAGAGCTCAATGTCCAATGCAAAGCATCTAAACCATAATCCCACCATTTCACCCTTGCGTTGTTTTCGAGTTTCTAAAACGTATCGGTTAGGGAGACTTTTTCACACTCTTATAAACAATGTTTGTTCTTTTCTCTAATCGAGGTGGGATTTCACATATAGTATCTTCGTATACTAAACTATCTTCGAGCATATTAACATATGTTATTTGGACCGACCCGTATGATGTTGAAGTTTCACGTACCGTTTTTGGGGAACCTATTTGATCTCTGAAATTTACAGAATATTGTGAGATTCCATGTGGGTTCGAGTATAAGAGTGTGAAAATCTCTCTCTTTTGAGGAAGGTTCGGAGAAAAAGCCTAAAAAGAACCAAATATCCAACGAAAATAAATCTAAACTTGAGATATATAACTAAATAGAAATTAAATAGGATTACAGCTAATAATGAAGGAGAAAACTAAAATAATTATAAAGAAAAATTATTAGGCTTTAAATACAAAATAAAAAAGAAATCATATCAATCAATGAATTCACCTAGACACACAAACATTAAAGTAAATGTGATAAAACTAGACCTAAACAAAGTAGATACTGCCGGAAATTAAATATTAAATTGGATTATTGGTATAATTGCTATAGGTTTAGATTTGAGTTAGGGTTAGTGGTACGCATCAAATTTAGAAATTTCTACGAGAACTGAATCATCAGCAAATATTGTCTTTTTTGAACTTTACCGAGAAGTTTTCACACCCTTATAAGAAATATTCCGTTCTCCACTCCAACCAACGTGGGACTCACATTTTCTCCATCTATGTTTCGTCTCCCATTTTAGAAAAATTTTCATTTATTTCTACAGGGATGGGATCGAATAAAGATTCAAATATTACAGTACTCAGTAAATAGTAGGGTAAATAGTAACCTACTCCAACTCGAGGCCAAGAATGGAAGGATAATGATATATATATATATATATATGGGGTATGTCTATGTGGGTTTGGTAAGGAATGCATAAGGGGGATGGGCCAATATGCAAAGGAGGAGAGGGGGTTAGTGAGTATTAAATAGTAAATGCATTATTGATGGGTATAATTTAGAAGACTTTTGTGGGCATCTAAAGACACTATTTTGAATAGGGGAAAAGCAAAAAGGAAATGAATTAAGGGTTGTACATGGGAAGGAAGTATTCCTTTTAGACATGAAATTGGTGATAGTTCCAAGAGCTAAGGGACAAAAGAGAGTAACATGTGGGGGTCCCTAGAAGAAAAGAAAAGAAAAAAAAGACCCTAAAAACGAAGGGTACAAGGGGTTTGGAGGGCCATGTGGAGGGCAGCTCGGCTAGCAAAGGGCAAGGAATTATTGTATAGGGTGAAGAACAATTGGATTTTGTAGTAAACCAAGGGATTTTCTCGTTTCCCCTAACATTCCATCATTATTCCCTCACCACTTTGCTTCCTTCATCTTATGTTATATTATTAAACTTGCTTTGGGTTTCGGGAAATTATCCGTTTTAATATTCTTGACCACGAGCAGATATTATCCGTTTGAATACGTTATGTATCGTTATTAGTCTCACAGCTTTAAAACGTGTCTACTAATGAGAGATTTCCACACGAAAGTAAGATTTGAATTATCTAGTTAATCAATATCTTAAATACAAGAACACTTGTTTGAGATGTCAAACTTAAATGATTCTAGATATGCAATTTAAACTACATAAAACTGCTGAGGAAACTACTACATTTTTAGTCTACTTTACAAATATAACATACATGTCTTTATATAGCTTCAAAATAAAAACACGTAACCTTTCATGGATATTTCAAGAGTTGTAACGTTCGTACCTTTTTAGAATCGGATCAAACAACAGTACATTAAATTTATTTAAAAAGAATAGAAAACTTCATAATCGGTTTGAGTTTGCAAAACAAAATGACAAAAAGTTCAACAAAACTTTAGAATAAATAATGAAAATGTGCGGAAATATAAATAAAACGTGTTGACAATCTTTCAAGCAACTAGCAATTCCTCTCGTTCTGTCCTTGCACGTCCTTCCTCTTATTTGAATAAGTTACTACCCTCAAAGTCACATCACACAGTCCAAAGTAATTCCCGACCACACAAATAGATCATTACTATCATTCTCATGCACATAGACAATTATGTTACGCTCTAATATAGTTCTCATGCACACAAATAAGTAATTACAACGACTCTCATGTATACATATAAGGAATTACTACAGTTTTCATGCACACAGATGGATAGTATAGAGAATCGTCTTATGTTTATATAAGTCCAAAAAAAAAAAAAAACATTATAGAGTACTAGAAAATATGAACTTAACTCAATTCTTCAGCCAAATAAGAGAAGGAATAAAAACGGAGTTGATGGAAAGTTAGACCACGTGATTTTTGGTGATTTTCGGTGACTCGTTGGAAATCTGACAAGGTTACTAACGAGTTGAAGAATGGATCCAACCCACCAATTGTCACATCATGAACTTTTTCAATACTTAGAGTGTGAAAAGATCATTGAAAATGTAATTCCATCCTCCACTAATTAAAATGCAAAGTTAGTTGTAAGTTTAAAGATCAAACTTACCATTAAAATGTAGGTACATTTTTGAGACATGGGTCCTACAAACCCACCAAATGGCATGGCCTACTACCCAAGAGGGCACTATGACTTGAGGGCATCAGGACAAGTGAATCCAAAACTGGCTAATATGAAAGCAACTCAACATGCACGCTTTTGAAGCCGAAGTTCGTGGAATTTTGAAGTTCAATGAAGAAGAAACAGATAAGAGGAGACCTCACACCATCAACTCTACAACTCACCACATATCCCTTGTGTTCAGACAATGATCTTAATCCCATTTTGGTCGGCCGCTTATTTCGACATCCACTTTTCACAAACAAATACATGTTTTATTAGTATGGGAGGAAACATTTTCATTTAGCATTTGATGACTCCGACATTCTCCTGCATATCTTCCAATATGATCACGTTATCTGTTAGGTTAAAAAAGGTGTTGAAAAAACTAGGGCAGAATGAAGACAAGTCAACTATTATTCGCTGTGATAGTAGCTCTGCTATCAAGCTTTCAAAAAATCCAGTAATGCATGGTTAGAGTAAACACATAGATGTGCGTTACCATTTCCTTCGAGAGCTCACAAAGGCTGGCACGGTGGAGTTGGTGCATTGTGGCACCCAGAAACAGTTAGCTGATATGATGACTTAAAATTGGATGTTTTCTTAAAGTTGAGAGAATTATTGAAAGTTACGTACATATAAACTGATTACTATTTGTGTTCTAGTTTAAAGAATGAATAATTATTTCGTGGATTGGATTTTACTTGACTGTCTACGGCTCCATTGCGTGTGCTCGGGGTAGAAGTTTTGTATAAATGTATCGCCATGCTATTAAGTATTTTGATTTAAGTTCTTTTCTTTCTAAGAGGTGGAATAGAATAACCCGGTTGAAGCGTAATGATCATACGTCTGTAATGCATTGTATGTCCCATAATAGGTCCCATTCTTCTACCCTTTCCCGGGAGTCGATGACTATTCATAGCTATTACCTTGACACCAAAGAAGAGTTCGACCCAATGCTTTATTTCTGTCCTAGTTGATCCCGATTCGATAGAAGTATATTGATTTTTCCCCAGTTAGATTTGAATAAGATTTGATTTAGTTATTTGATTTAGATTTTCTTATTTTCAGTGTATTCGATAAGGCTATATAATAGCCAATTTCATGGTTCAGTATTGAACTACTTTTTTCCGTGAAAATTATCCTCACAAATCATGCACATGAGTGGGTATCAAACAAATTCTAAGATATCCATTTCTCAATCTATAATATATACAGTTGAAAGTCTTTGTAGTTTGATGAGAAAGAGAAATGGATGAGTTTCTTTCACAAAGTTTGAAAACTTCGATCAAATTGAACATTAATTTAAACACCAAGTGGGAAACCAACATGTCTAGTGGTCATGACAAGACTCATCACTATTCACTCATTCCTCTTCATTATTTCTATCTTTTCTAATCAAAATTATTTTTAAAGTTTGAATTTTGATTTTGTGGACTAAAATGGATATATCGATCAGTGTGGCAGCGAAGGGGTCTGTGAAATCCCACGTTGGTTGAAAAAGAGAACGAAACATTTCTTATAAAAGTGTACAAACCTCTTCCTGACAGATGCGTTTTAAAATCGAAACAATATCGGTTAGCAGTGGACTTAGACTATTACAACACTAGTCATATAATGTAATTTGTAGACTACCTCATAAGTGTCGAAGTATCATTATTGTACCTTAAACTTTATACTATTATATTAGAATAATTTGTAGACTATTTTATATTATAAGTATAAAAGTGTGAGGAAGATGGGTGATATTCTCTCCTAAGTTGGCAAGAAAGATATATTAATCTAAGAGAATTTAAAATTGTAAAATATCAAATTGTCATCATTATGTCGATCTTAACAAGGATTTGCTTACGTTAAATTGAAATTCTAAGCACTTGTAACCTTGTTGTCGTCCATTATCCACATTGTATTTAATTATTTATCCCTTTAGGATTTGTTTAATCAATTTATTAAATATCTCCTACCTAATTTAGGTGCTCCTCCTCGTCCACCTATGTCGAAAATATATTTTTTTTAATATATAACGGTACGATGTCAAAAGTGACATTCTTTATCTCCGAAATACTAATACGGTCCTTTCAGCCAAACTAAACATGCTTAAGTTTGAAGCTCGTGAAAAGAAGTAACAACTCAAGCCCACCGATAGCACATATTGTCTTCGTTGGGTTTTCCCT